GTATCAGTAAAAATGAATATAAGAGTCAATTATCAATCAGTAAAAAGAATCAAATCAAATCGTGAAATACAGTATCAGTAAAAAAAAAAAAAAATGAATATAATGTAAGAGTCAATTATAAATCAGTAAACATAAGGCATAGAAAAAAGATGGGTTCACATTTCTCTTAAGACTAATATTCCTAAAAATGAATTTTTTATTGCGGTTAACCTTGTTTTAAATTCAACTTTTTTCCCTTTTAATAGTAAATTTTACAAACAAGTTTTCGGTACTCCAATGGGCTCACTACTTTCACCAATTTTAGCAGATATTGTAATGCAGGACTTAGAAGAACAAGCTATTAATTGTTTGTCGGCACAACCATTGTTCTATTATAGATATGTTGATGACATTGTTCTTGCTATTCCACCGGACAAAGTTGATGACACACTTAATACTTTCAATTCCTTTCATGGAAGATTACAATTCACTATGGAGATTGGCAGTGATAACAGATTAGACTTTCTTGACACTACTATTATTATTGATAATTGCAGAATTATTTTTGACAATTTTCATAAAAAAACATTCTCAGGTAGATTCCTTAATTTCCACTCAAACCATCCTATGAATCATAAAAAAGGCATTATTATTAGTTTTATTGACAAGATTTTACTTTTATCACATTCTCGGTTCCAACAGAATAATATAACAGAAGCCATAAAATTTTTTTTAAACAATTCCTATCCTCTTTCCCTTATATTCTCCACCATTGATCAAAGAATTAAATATCATATATACAATCAACAGAATACTCAGAATTTTCATGTGAGAGAAAAATATTTCACAATACCTTACGTTAAATCCATATCTGAAAGTTTCCGTCCCATTTCCAGCATGTTTCGGTGTAAATTAGCCTTTTCAATTCCTAACACCTTAAAAAGCTTTATTAAAAGAGGTAAAGATAAATTAGAACATCTTTCTAATAACAATGTTATTTATAAGATTACCTGTGATGATTGTGAAGCCAGCTACGTTGGTCAAACAAAAAGAAAACTGAGTACCAGACTAAAAGAACATATGTCTGACATCAGAAAAAGGACAGGTTCTCCTTCTGTCATCACTGACCATCGTATTAACTTTGACCA